GTGACCATCCCGGACTCAGTGACGGAGATTGCGGATGAAGCTTTTGCAGAATGCAGTGCTTTGACTTTGGTCGTTTCCACTACTCGGATCCAGTTGGGAGTTGACTTCACTGGCTGCAAACGGGTTCTAGCAAAAGAATGTGAATGTCAAGACTGCGAGCACTGGTGGTTTCAGGATGGCTGGGTGTGTCCTCGACGGTGGGGATATTCACATGGCCGCAATGGCTGCCGTCGTTGAGAGCCCTTGTAAAGCAAGGTATGTACTTGCATGTAAATTGATTGCTAAACACTGAATCGTTTCAATCTTTGCAGAACCGCTCTGCTTGCGGAAAGGCTGGCTTGCTGGGCGACGGACGACTCTAGGGTCTCTCAAGAACATACGCCAGAGACGCACTGAAAGAATGTCATTATAGACTACAGATCCAGACTCAGACTCAGAAGCGTTTTTTCACTTGTTTGGACCTCCAAGAAGAGCCGTTGGCCAAAACCAGTCTGACATCGTCACATCGTCGTCTGCAACGATGATCATCGCCATGACGGTTAAGGGTGTCACAGTGAGGCTGTCCCCAAAAAGGATCTACAAAGAGGTCTCTACATTCAACGTTCCAATCCTTTTTTGCTAGAGAGGTCATCACCTTTTGTTTTTTTGTGGAGAAACGTTTTTTCCTCATGGTGAAACAACTTTCAACGGTGGAGACAACGGCGAGATGTGATTTGATCCTTCTTTGGTTCAGTGGTTGATTCGGTCGTGCACTTCACACCTATAAACCCAGAATTTGTTGGGCCAACACCGAAATACACCAGGCTGCAGGCATATGAGCTGCGCGTGTTTTGGCGGATGATGATCAGGGCATTGATCCTGAGGATTAGGGCTAGGACGGTCTCATTTTGCTAGATCACCCGTTTCTGTGACCCTCCTTACTGGGCCAGACACCTCCCTCTCTTGGTGAGTTGTTGCTCATCTCTAGGTCGGCAGCAATTTCCTAAGCACTTTTGCCTGGGTTCTTCGGAGGGTTCAAAGTCGAAGCCACTTTGAGGCTCGCTTTCATGTCCAACGGGTTCCAAACTCCAAAACTACAAAAAGGTCTCCACATTCATCATTCATCATCATTCTAATTCCTTTTTGGATGCCGAAGAGGTCTTCACCTTTTTCTTGGAGAAACGGTCAACGGTTTTCCTCGCGGTTGGTTCCACACGTTGCAACGGTGGAGACACGATTGGTTCGTTCCCCCGAAGCGATGGACGGCGACCGAAGCGATGGACTGCTCGGACGGTGGACGGTTTTCGAGGTCACCAGTGGAGGTCTGGAGTTACAAGGTGAGATGTTCACAGCGGTTTCACCTCGTGATGCTTTCGTTTTTTTGGTGTTTTTCCACAGCGATGTGGTTCAGATCGAAGTTCCAGTTTGACAGTCTTTGAGCTAGACTTGCTCGTGCCGCTCAGGCTAGACTTGCGATGTTTTGCTTCAAGTTGGTGCCCACAAAATTCATCAAAACGACCCCCCAAACACTCAAAACACTTCAAACAACGACATCAAAACCACTTCAAACAACAACCACTCCGAAACGACGAGCGTCGCGACCTGCTCTACTTCGCTGCTTCGGTCGCCACCGGTTCCAACATCCTCCCTCTTCCAGTTCGGCTTCACCCTCTGGAAGCCCCGGAGGTGAGACGGCACCCGGGACGGGACGAGTGATGCGACTTGGACGAACGAGACGAGTGAGGCGGGACTTGGTGGAGGGAGGGGTTTGGCATTTTCAGCGTGTTGGCTTTATTTGAACGGTGAGATGATCACAGCAAGAGACCAGATTCCTGCATCAAATGATCATTATAGAATGGGCTAGCGCCCGGGTGCCGCCGACCCCGACACACTGGAGCAGAGTCTTCGCCGCTCAGGCTTAGGCTGTCGCGTTTTTTTTGGGGGGGGAAGGAGGTCGACCATATGTTTTGCTCGCTATGGCCTGGGGCCTTAGTGCGTCGACATGGAGGGGAAGGAAGCTGACGTTGGGTAGGTGGAACGATGGATGTAAAGAAGCCCTACAGCATTGGAGATGTACCCAAGGACATCCAAGAGTCCAAGAACTGTCAATTGTGGGACAATACTGCAGCGAGCAGCAACCCTCTCTCCAAGAATCACAGGTTCATCGTAAAGCCAGGACAAGCCCAGTACAGTCGAGTCACCTGATCCTACTTCCCCACTCATGTACACCAACCATGCATCGTTCGCCCAGATTGTGAGGCGGATGAGGAGAGGATGCGGTGGAAATGGTGGGAGAACATCAGACCAGGGACAGTAGGTGCTGTTTTCCCTCCATCAATTGGGGGAATATTTGTTGCTGTCAGGTGACTGTGTTGCGATCTCCCCGAAGATTGGCCAAATTTGTCATCCGGAATAGCAGAGTCCCAAGTCCCAAGCCCTCAAAACAGGCCCCTGACCAATCACACAAGTAATTCGTGGAAGATATGACTCATGACCTTAGTGGAGGTTCATAAATGGAAATTGTTGGATTGTTCTTTTTGTCACTTTGCCTCGTCCAATGAACTCCGTTGGAAGGAGAAGCCATTGAGACTTTGCCAGATGAGGATAAGGCCACGAGCTTGCGAAGGTTGCGCAGCAAGACGAAAAGAAGAACGTGCAGAAGACGATAGGCAAGAAATAGCCCAGAGGGGCCGTTGCGCACCACGAGAAAAAGGGAAATGGTGTGCCAAAGCCCAGCAAGTGGCAACTCCAACAGAGCGTCCAGGGCAGCCAGAGCCCAGAGCCCACAGTCTAGCCAGCGTCCAGAACTCAGCAGCTGGCTGCTCCAACGGCCAGTATGGCAGAACCATTGGCAAGTTTCGAGGGGTTTGAGGCGTTTGAAGGGCAGTTTCGGGCCACGAGAAAAAAAGGATTTCCCGAGCCCACAGTCTGCGCAACTCCGCCCACAGTCTCGCACAGAGC